AAGAGTAGCTGGTGGCAGGGGGCAGTGTTTAAGTAGAAAGCGTATGTCTTGTCCAAAGTGCCAGCACGTCTGAGCTCCAGCCTGCGCCTGCCCTCGTAGTACAGGAACCACATTAGCTGCCTTTCACCTGTAGAGAGCCCAGAAGCCAGATCCACGCACAAAGCATCCCAAATGGATGCCGTTCACACTGGGGCTTGCATCGCAGAACATGCGTCTTCACATAGACAGGGCGCAGAGGCAGACAGCTCCCTCCTCATGCTGTGCTAAGCAGGTGCAGCACCTGTGACCTCCCCGCGTTCGGTTCCACAGCAGACAAACACAATGACAGGGAGACAGGAACAGATAGAAGCGTGGGCATCAGGCGTGGCTCAAAGCAGGACCTGTTTCTCAAAAGGTGAAAATGTCCAGACATGTCTCAGCTCTACTCCGACAGCAGGGGTTTTAAGAGGGGCGATTACAACCTCCAGGGACCCCTGGCAGTACCACTGCTGGTCAGAACTTGGAGGGAAGAGATAAGTGGGAGAGGAGACTCGGGGTCAGTGTTAAACACCTTGCCATGTGGACCACAGAGTCTCACAGCAGAGGATCACCTGTCCCCAAATGCCAGTTGGAGCAAGGTCCAGAGGCCTAGGAGGAGAACAATGGGTTCTGACTTTGGTTATGTGTCAAAATGGGGGAAGGGGCTTAAAAAAAATCCTATGCCTAGGTCTTAGCCTCAAACAAGGAAATCAGAATCTGGAGAGTGGGCTCAGGCCTCCTGTTTCACATGCTTCCAGTGAACTGTAAAGGCAGGTGGGTGTGAGAGCTGTTACCCGGAATCAGTTTCCCTACAGGAATCCGTGATGGGGTCACGCCTGCACCTCACAGATCCTCAGTGCTTTGCTCAAAACAAGCGCTCCAGGCTTGTTTGTTGACTGGATGGTGGGTGAGTTAGTCACCTGCGGTTAGTACCCCACAAACTGCTGGGCTGGTGTTGACTTTCCACATTCCATTGGTGGCTGATAGAAGCTGGGTCTTTTTTTTTTTTTTTTTTTTAAAGTCAATTATTCAGTACATCAAAAGGATACACAACTTCCAGCAGTCAGTCAGCTGCATACTAACGGGTTTGCTGCTGGAATAATTACTTCTGAAAGTGAAAGGTACAGAAACAATCTGGACAATATATTCATGCCAAAGGAAGCTTACAAAATTAACTTGCAATCTTTTTGCACCCCTCCTGGTCATATGCGATGAGAAGAATTAGAAATTGTTCATTAAATGCAGGCTGGGAACCTTCCATTGCTATCACTCAAAGAGTTATGAAAGAAGAAAATGAAAACCAAAAACCTCCACCAAGGCAGGAAGGGAAGTCTAGTCCCATGAAACTGCTAACGCCGGCCAGATTTCCCTTATACTTGGACCTGCTTGACCAGTGGACCTGTTCACATCTAAAGGAATTATGGGAAATGCTCACAAGTTCCGATGGATATTAGGAAGTGGTGGGAGGTGAGTGAGGGTTAGGCTTTACTCTGGAATCAGTGCCAGCCCATTGCCTGCTGTCCAAGAGGGCACTGCCATTGCCTGTCAGTTCTCTAAGGTCAGGATGGGGCTCAGTGGGACATTCAGGAAGCTGGAAAGCTAGCTGTGGTTTGCAGGAACCACAGTGGCTACTGGGAGTGAGAGGAGCCCCTATTCCGTGGAGGCAGGTGAGGGAAAGATTGCAGAAAATCAGCCCTGAGAACCAGAGAGGGGAGATCTTGGCTAGGCACGGAACAGGGGTGATGGCATGGGCAGGAAGGTTGCTAGTAGGCCTGGAAAGATGAGCAGGTAGGAGAGGACTTGCCTGGAGTTTCATCCGGTAAGACAGGGCCTGTGCATCTTAGACACAGTATAAGGAACTGCATGCGCAAAGGTCCGGAAGCAAGGGAGAGATGGGTGTGCTGGGAGAATGGAAAGAAACCCCACTTAGCAAGGGGCTCTCAGAGGCCTTTTAGGGGGACTGTCCTGACTGTGGACAGCTAGAGGAAGAGATAATTTCAAGTAAAAAAGAGGCAGGAATCCTGGAAAGAAGAGACCCAGAGCGCAGAGGGAGACCCTGGGGCTGGCGGTGGGAGGCCACTGTGTTCCACCACGTTTGATCCTGTGCCCTGAGGAGGGGACTGACCTTGCCTTCAACCACAGACCGCCAAGAGCACAGGCGCCCCACACCACTGAGGCACAAGTGACGCAAATGCATGGGGCTGAGTTCGGGCGGGGGTGGGAGGCCCGTGGGGCTGAGGGAGCCGGGTGAATTCGGGCTCGGCAGCAGGGTCCTCCTGGCCTGGAGAAAGAGTCTGTGTGTAAAGCGGAAGAGCAGAGAGACTAGGAAGCCTTTTGCAGCAAGGGAGCTTCTAATGAACTTGGAGACCAGAAGGAAAGATCTAGGAGGAGGAAAGGAGGGAGGCAGTGACGAGGGATGCGTCGTGAGAGGAACACAAGCCACCATTTGGCACTTTTTCCAAACCCCGTGGCAGAGATTAAACGACTCAAATTGTCTTGTGCTTCTTTCTGGATGCTGTCCTAGGATTCCGCTGACGCCTGGCCAAGCCGCCACAGCCACGCGTGAGCGATGCACAGAAGGGCCTGTCCCCTGCCCTATGGGGCTTCTCGGGGAGCTGGCTGCCGCCCCAAGCCTTCCGGCGCAGAGGTTCTCACCCCTCCGCTGTTACAAGCACAGCGCTCTGGGAGGAGCCTGGCTCCAGGGCCAAATCCACACGTCTAAAGCCAGGCGCACAGAGGTCTGCGGCTATGGGGACTGAAGGGCGCCCCAGGCACACCCTGGCAGGGCGGCCCTGGGGCTGCTGGGGCTCTGCGTCGTCACTGCAGAGAAAGAATGTGCTCCCCGCCTCGTGGGCTCCCTGGATGATGCAGGGCCTCCGGGGAGCGAAGGCAGGGCCCGCGACTGGAGAGCAGGTGCTGGGAGCAGAGAGTAGCCGGCTGCCCTGCAGCCACCCCCACAGCTTTGCTGCTTCAGCAGCTACAAGCTTGGGATTTTATTCTGTAAGACAACACCAGGGGAATCACAATTTTAAAACCAACTGTTTGGTCCGTGCCTTCCGTGCGATAAACACTTATTTAGTCTCAGGAGCAGGCCACAGGGAGGTCACGCAATTCTCAGAACAGGACAATAAGCGGTGCTGATTTATAACATGATATTAAAATGTTGGATATTAAAACGTTAATGAAATTACTATGAAAGAATAAGAATTGATGCTTGTGTCTTAACCATCCTCAAGGCCGCAACCATTTAAAAATATTTATTTCTACTCTCGTAAAAAAAAAAAAATGCTTTATCATCTAAGTTTTAAAAACTCAGTTCCTTCCATCTGCCCATCCCCCCACCCCCCAGTGATTTATTTTATCTACAGAAAATGTTAATAACCAGCCAGGAATCCAAATGTTAAAAGCATGGAAAAATAAAATCTTCAAAAATTAAAATAAATGATTTATTTTTCTTCTTTTCCCAGAAATTGCAGCTTCTGTAAGACCCAGGATCCAGGAAGCGGGAAAGTGCCTGACTGCAAGTCAAGCTGCTCTGAGTGGAGCTGCCTGGGGCTCACGTTTGCCTTCCTGCCCATGCACCGTGGGGCCATTTACAACGTACTTCTTGGTGACAGGGTCCCTCTCCTGAGAAACACCAAGGTCAGAGCACCACAGACATGTGTGGCAGTCACTGCAGTGAAATGAGATAGTCCTTCAGGAGAGGACATGTGTCAGATTTCAGAGGCAAGAACTCCAAAGATGAGGGAGGGAAGGGATTGCTTCAGAGGCAGGAGCATTTGAGTAGGGTACAGACAGGTGAGTAGGAGTTGTCTGACCAGAGAGAGAAGTACAAAAGACAGGAAAGAAGGAGAAGGAGAAGGAGGAGAAGGAGAAGGAGGAGGAGGAG